CAGTTTGTCTGCAGAACAGCAGTGCACAGCTTGGTGTGATTTACTGGGACAGAAGTAAGTGGGTCCTCTGGAACCGGTACATCTGGGTTTTATTCTGTCCGCTAACTGTCGTAGCTCTGGTTACTGGAGGTAGCATCCCGTTCAAATGAGGGGGTTTCTCCCCACTGTCACCACATACTTGTGCACGGAGGAATGTAGTAAAATCCAACTTTATTTGGTTATTTCTAACTTTTTGTTTGTTTTTTTATTTCATGCTTAAATTTCTTTAAAATATCTGGACCCTTAAGTGTTCTTATTTGGTCTGAAACCTTAAATATTTGGTTTCAGGTGGATTTATTAATCTCCTCGTTCCGGAGGAGTCTGTCTGCACGTTGCAACAGCTGATATGAAAACGCCGATCATCAGACGTCTCTGCAGCAGAATCTACTCATCTTTTATGTTTTTTGTAGTGATTTAATGAGCCGCGTCTGAACGTTCTGACCCGACTGCGCTGCTCGACCTGATTGCACAGGCGTCTGGGAGAATTAGAGACCCGATCCGCTGTGAGAGTGAAATCTGGGACGGCTCAGGTCAGCCTAAAAACGGGGACCACGTGACGCCTTTCTTCCAGAGTTTCCACAGATTGAAGTAGGACACCTGTAGACACCAGCAGGATCTCAGGGCTTAATGTCTGACCCGTTTGTTCCCTCCGTCGACTTTAATAGATATTAAATCACATCTTCAGGGCCGATCATGTTATTTATTAAGGCAGAAGTTTCCAATCAGGTCCCAGCCGGATTTTTTGAGCTGTAATGGGGAGAAAAAAGTAATTCTGAATATAAATATAAATTGTAAGATTATTAAAGAATAAAATTCATTAAAAATAAACAAGAAACAATAGAAAAAATTGATAATGTATAGCTTATAGAACCAATAGAAATACAAAGCACAGAAAATCTAGCAAAAAAGATCATTTAGATCAGGGGTCTGCAACCTTTCATATCCGAAAAGCCGTTTTGCCCAAAGTCCGACCAAGTAAAAGTTGTTTAGAGCCGCAAAATATAACATGACTTTTTATAGAAACCTCGTTTAAAAAAAAATCTTGCATAGGAAATTAGTTGTTGCCATCTCAAACAATCAACAATTCAT